CAACCCGATCGTCAAGAAGCGTCGAGAAGAGTTTGCTTGCAACCTATGCGCGGCGTCGTATAAAGGACAGGTGGGGCTAACAAGGCACCTTCGCTACTTCCACCCCCAGCAATACCAAAACGCAGAACGTAAACGAGCTCGGGAGATGGAAGGGATTGCCAAAACGTTGCCTTTTCACTGCGATCGCTGTGAGTTCAGAGCCCCAAGTAAGACGGGGCTCTTACCCAACATTCGTGCCAGGCATCGCCCCCCACAAGAGCGGCCACGCGCAGTGGCACCACGACCCAAACTATATTGTCCAATATGTCGCAGAACCATGGACAACCCTGGAGGACTGGCAATCCACATGAAATACAAGCACCCCGACGGACTGAATAATAGATCAGAAGGCCCAAACACAGACACACCAAAACCCCCCAAGCGAGTATGAGAGAGAAGAATCCCCTACCGTGCACGCCGCCGCCACAAAGAAGGATAAAGATGAAGCAGTATTGCCACATCTCCAAGGCGTTCGGGAACAGAGGCCTCCTTTCCGACAGAAGAGCCGATAAAGCAAAAGGGAAAAGACCCCCTAACACCCGAGCGGCTGAAGGAAATAAAATGCTTGGTGTGTTTGAAATGGTTCGCCTCTATTGAATCAGTTCGCCCGCACTGCCTCCGATGTCATGAGGGCTAAGGGTTTCCTGTAACGGTGAAGCGCCGGAGGCCCCAGGAGGATGCTTCTGATGACTTGCCTCTTTCTGCCTTCTCGTGCCCCACATGCGGATTCCAGCGCCACAGCAAACACGGACTCACAAGGCACCGCATCGTTAGCCATGGATTCAGGCCGGACGTAGTGAAACCAAGCCAACGTGGACAGTGCGAAGGGACGCGCCTGCACTTCGTGAGCTGCCCCTTATTAAAGAGTATGCACTGTCACTTTGGGGTGGACGGGGGCGGCGTGGAGAAGTTATGCTTTATGCAGAAGTTTGCCCAATACCTGCTGGCAGTGGAAAGGCTTTGTCCTCAACGGCCTTCTCCTATAAAACTGACGCCAGCCATATTGGAATAGGTGTAGTTTATTCTCCCCTCTAAGCTTCGTCTCCCCTCTATATTTTTGTCGAGCGCGCCGCCGGAACGTGCCTCCCCCCTGAGAGAGCAAAGACCAATGGGGCGAGTAGGCTTTCGAGCTCCCGGATGAGGGGAATCGGCTGTCCGATTCCTTCAGCGTGTGTGTTTCCTCACTGGGCCGGCTCAACACAATGTACACCAAAACACCAAACACAGCACAACAAAACAAAGGGATCTCCTACTACATAGAAGTTAGGCAGTAATAAACGTGCTCTAAGATGATGGCTGGTGGCGCGGAGCCATTGACACAAGTTGTGGAACCACGAGGGCGAAACCGCGTTGGACCACCACAATGGCCATGTGCAAGACAGCCGTGGAATTTCCCCACAACCGTTAGCCGCTGGCGTCCAAAACAAATACTCGCGTCACAAGAAAACTCCCCATCGCTATGTGATCTTCTGGACTTTCAGCCATCATGTAAGACAAACGGACCCCTACACCTCACTGCTGAGGCACATCTTCAACCACCATTTCACCACTCTTGTTACGTTGTTCCTGCGCATAGGGCTCTAACGTCATCTCCCTGATCCCTACATTGTGTTCTCTAACAGACACCATCAAGCCATTACCAAGCAAAGATATAACAATACCTACCACAATTAAAAACTACATCAACACCACAAACCTCCACCGTGTACAGTATCCACAACTCCCATCATACAAACCAAGTGATACTTATCACAAACGAAGAACTATTACCCAAAGAATTAGTGAATAACTTCTCATTGCACACACTCTTTTCATGGGGTTTCGAAAACACCAAAATCAATCTAATCTGCCGGGTACGACCATACTTGGCCGAATGCACCATATCCCGTCCGATTTGTGAAGTTAAGCGGCCACAGGGCGTTTAACCACTGTGATCAGGGATGGCTCTCGGAACAAGAATTTTGGCGTACCCAACAAAAAATCCTCGCGGGTCCACCGGCAGGCTCATTGTGGTGAATGAGTTGGGCTTAACCTTGCGAGGTGGGCTGGGTTACGGGTTCGATCCCTCCCTGTGCCTTTAATTGTTCCTGACCAATAGGGGGAACACCCCAATCACTCTCAAGAAGGGATTGGGAAAAATTGTCCACGTAGGCATGGTTCGAACCACGAACCCTATGCCACCTGGACTTCGTGCTTTCAATCCAGGAAAAGGCCGCTCAAAACCATCCGACGAGACTTCGAACGAAATCTCGACAGGACACCTGGCTGGGTTGGTCACCCAGGGTTAGTCCCCAATTCCAGGCGGGGGGCGAGGCAGCTCAAATAACGGGAAGGTGGCTAGCACCCACTGGGCCGTCGCGTACGACCTTCGTACGGCGCGAGTGATGAGAGCGGCTGCCGGTTCTTAGATGATATCTAAGGGCTCAAGGTTTCACCGGAATATAGGATGCCTCATAAACTGCCGGCCCTATATTTCGG